GCCCTACACAGTCTGTTCCTGGTTTCCTGAACAATACCTGATTTCATTGCCTCTGGGCCTTTTTGCATGCTTTACAACCCCTTCACCCAGCATAAATGTCCAGTCTCAGCTATTTCCTCCAGATAGTCTTCTCTGACCAGGGTTCAAGCCCCCCTCCTGGGGGCTCCCATAGCCCCTGTGCTAAGGCCAGGCGTTGCATGTTGCAACTGTCTGCTTATCTGGCCTGCTGGACCTGAGATCCTCAAGGGCAGAGAAAGAGCTCACTCACCTTTCCCCCAGCACTTAGCACAGAGTCTTAGGCAATAATGTTTGTTGAATGAATAAGGGTTGCTGTAGGCCGACTCTCTGCTCTGAGGTCTCTGGGCATCTCTCCTTTCAATTCCCCCTCCACCCTACAGAGGCCACTGAATTTCCTTGTACACTAGGTAAACTTGGGCAAACCTCTTCCCCTCCCTGGGCCCCCAATGCCTATAAAACAGGGACATCATTCCTGTTAGCCTATCCTACCCTGCTCTAAGTCGGGTCTGAAGCTTCCTGGAAAGGAGGAGCTTCTCCTAAGCTTCTCTACCCCAACTTATGTGGCAGCCAGGCTGCTCCTGAGACCAGTACTCAGCATTTGGGGAGACTTCTGCACCTTATCATAATGGGAAACTTGCGCAACAGAGTCTGGGCACAGCGATCTCCCATTTCCCAGCTTGAGCTCTGCTTAGGTTGTGACCCACTCCCACAGGGAGGCCCGAAAATCCCACAACCCTCATACTTACAAAGATGAGGAAATTGAAGAGGATCATCATGGTTTTAATGAAGCTGAAGCACTGCATGGTGGCTCCTGGGAGGCAGACAAGTGTGAGTTAGGAATTCGTGCCGCCCGCCTCCACTGCCACCTGGGCTAGCCCTGGCATTTGGACCCTGACATACGAGACCCCAGCATCCAGGACCCATAAATCACCCAAATTCCCCCGCATCTAGCCTCTGACACCTCGGGACTTTTCCTAAGTCCTATCCTGACACCTCTGCCTCTCTGTAGGGCTCAGGCCCTCTCCCAGTGCCTGACACTCAGATACTGACACCCCAGGTTTCTCCACTGGCACCCCAAGCCCAGCCCCCACACCACAGGTCACTCCACGCCCTTCCTTGGCACCTACATATCCTGGACTCCTCCACCAAACCAACCCTGGACTCTTTCAGGACCCTCCCCATTTGCCTTCCAGCTTCCCAAACCTGTTTGCAGGTTGATTTTACTTCATAGGACTATCTCTATCCTGTGCCATCACCTGTTCAGGGCTCTTGGTAGTGAGTTCTGAAGGAACTGAAGGATCTGCTGAGGCTCCAGAGGGGACAGACTACTCCAGGGATTTGCCACTCGAGGGTGCAGGCCATGAGACGGAGCTGGCTCTCGGGCACTGCTGCTCACCTGCAGGTGGGGCAGGAGTTTTAAAGTCCTCTGCTTACCTTCCCACCCTGCCCCACCCCGCAGCCAGTCAGCTTCTTCTTTCCCTGCTGCCCCCTGCTGCCTGGAGATCTGTCCCCATAGCCACAGGCCTTGTCGGCCTGGCAACGCCAACCACAGCAACACTCTTCCTGATCTGAAGAAGGAAGAGAAGTCGGAGGGTAAGCAAGCGGCCCCCAGAATCTCTGAGTGCTCTCCACCGCAACGGCCCCCAGAATCTCCAAGTGCCCTCCACTGCAACGGTGCATGGATGCTTTCTGGCCTACATCTGCTGATCCATTCATCCATACCCCATGTGCTCATGGGCACACACATCTGCACACACAGATACATACATAAACACCTACCCGTGCTCATGAGTGCACACACGCATACATGCCTCACACACTGCACTGTGTGTGGACTGACTCCCGGCAAGTAAGAAACCACAAAACAACATCCGAGGGACATACTTAAAGTCTCTCTCTCTCTGTCTCTGTCTCTCACACACACTCTCAAGCACACACACACACACACACACACACACTTTCAAGGAAGTGACCCAGGTTTAGCAGCTTCTACCCCCTCCTCTGAGTAGCATGTGACTCCTAGACCTTTTCCCTCTATAAAATTTCAATTTCCCCATCTTTTTCCTCCCTTCGTCTTTCCTCCTTACCCGCCTACCTCCCTTTCCTTTCTCTTCCCCCCATCCAGTGTTCTTAGCAATCTGTCAAGCACCCCTTTCCTTTCTGCCAGAAGGTGGCACCATGATCCCACAAAAGCATCACCCCCAATTCTAAAACTTCGCAGTCTCAGTCTACATGAATCACTCAAGGGCTTCATTTGAACCCCTGCCTGCCTCGTTCCACTCCAATGCTCCCACATCGAGGTGCTGCGGAAGTTCTGGCTTTGGAGTCACTCAGGCCAGGCACTCCCATGCTGGTTCTGATGCTTCCTAGCTGTGTGACCCCGGGGTGGGGGGATTTCTTAAGCTCAGTTTTAAGCCTGTTTCCTGGTCTATATAACAGAATAATTATAAGGATTTTATTTTATTTATTTTTTTTTTAAAGATTTTATTTATTTATTCATGAGAGACAGAGGGAGAGAGAGAGAGAGAGAAGCAGAGGGAGAAGCAGGCTCCCAAGGAGCAGGGAGCCCGATGCGGGACTCGATTCCAGGACCCTGGGATCATGACCTGAGCCGAAGGCAGACGCTTAACCATCTGAGCCACCCAGGCGCCCAATTATAAGGATTTTATATAAGATTTTCTCCCCACTCTGGGAAAAACAGGAATGACCTCAGACTGGGAAAGTCAGAGTAGGGAGAGTCATGGCCAGAGGGGGTGTGGGATGGACAAAGGGGACTTTTAAAATTTTTTAAAAATTTGAATATATTTGACACTAATTTTTGTTTCTTATAATGGGAGGAAGCAGCTGAAGAAACGGGGGGGGTCAGTAATGCTAATATCTGTGTAGATTGTGTTTTAAATGCATTACATATATGGTCTTTTCCCCCCTCTTCACAACAATCCTATGAGATAGATTCTCTTTTTCCCCCTTTTTATTTATTTTATTTTTTAAAAGATTTTATTTATTTATTTGACAGAGAGAGACACAGCGAGAGAGGGAACACAAGCAGAGGGAGTGGGAGAGGGAGAAGCAGGCTTCCCGCCGAGCAGGGAGTCCGATGTGGGGCTCGATCCCAGGACCCTGGGATCACGACCTGAGCCCAAGGCAGACGCTTAACGACTGAGCCACCCAGGCGCCCCTTTCCCCCTTTTTAAATATGGGGAAACAGAGGTACGGGAAGGTTAAGTACTTGCCATGATCACGCAGCTTGTAAGTGCGAATCCAGGATTCACCCCTAGTCAGTCTGGTGCCAGAGTCTGTATCTTAACCACCAAGCAGACTGTCTTTAGTGATGGAATCTCTAAGAAGGCAGGAGGAGCTGACTTCCAGAAAGAACAGGAGAGGAGGCCTTGGTCTGGGGCTTGAGGAAGAAAATGGCCAAGGGCAAGTGGGTTTACAGGAGTAGTGGCTAGAAGTTGATGGGAGCAAGGTCCATTTTCTAAGACTAAGGATGGCAAGAGTAGAAGAGGGAGGGGAAGGTGGTGTAGGGCCTTTAAGGGTGGTGCCCAAACCCTCCTTGCAGGTTCCTACAGGTCCAGAGAAAAGATGGAGGCTGGGAAGGAGGGCTGGAGGTGGAGTAAGAGGGAAAGAGAGAGGGGGCTGAAGTCCAGTGTTCCACAACAACTCAGTGCAAGTCCTGGCGGAGACACTGACATTCCTGTCTGCTACAAGAAAGCATTGACACAGCTTACATTCCCGTAGGGACCCAGCTGTTCCTCCACCTGCACTAATGAATGGCTTTCTCTTTCCCCTCAGGAAGACTTGGAACCAGGTCACCTCCGTCTATGACTTCAGTGCCCAGCACACATGAAGTTGTTAGTGAACAATTCCTGAATGATTGAATGAGCAAATGAGCGTAGAACAGCAAGAGTTAAATGTCTGGGCTTTGGACCGTAGCCATCATGGATGGGAACCCCTGCCTGCCTCTAATTGTGTGACCTCACCTAACTGAGCCTCAGTTTCCTTATACAGTCGATCCTCATTATTCATGGCTTCCATATCTGTGAATTTACCTACTCACTAGAATTTATTTGTAACCCCGCACCAATACTCATGTCACTTTTGTGGTTATTCGTGGACATTTGCAGAGCTGCAAAAATGTTGAGCTGCCCCATCCACGTGTTCTCAGCTGAGGCTGAACAAGAGGATTCTCTGCCTCCTTGTTTCACCTCTTATAATGTACACCTGTTCTTCTTGTGGTCTATTCAATGTCACATTTTTCCCATTTTCGTACTTTTGGTTAGTGATTTTGCTGTTTATCAAATACTGCTGAAGTGCTGTCTAGTGTCTCTGAGCGCAAGAAGGCTGTGATGTGAACTACGAGGAAGTATGTTAGATAAATGTCATCCAGATACAAGTTAGAGTGCTGTTGGCTATGAGTTCAATGTTAATGATTCAACAACAATATAGTTTAAATTAGGTATCTATAAACAGAAACACATAAAACGAGGTCATGTTCTGATTGATCAGTTGACAAAAATGTTATGACCCGAGGCTGGTAGGAATCTAACCCGATAGGTACATTGGCTCGATTTGCTAATGCGCTATTTGTGGTGGGGACTTTATTAGACCATAACTACTGTGAATAATGAGAATCGACTGTATATGAAATAGGAATAACGATAGTCTCCTTGTAAGGTTGTTGTGGGATTAATGAGAGAGTGTAGAGTACTGGGCGCTCTTTGGCACACAGTAAATGCTTAAGAAACGTTGTTAATATTGTCCCTGTGGATAAATGAAAAAGGGAGGGAGTAATTTTCCCCTACTCAGAGTTCCTTTTCCCTGGGGGCCAAGCTGAGGTTTTTCTGGCCCTTGGGCTGGACCCATTGAGAGAACCCTGAGGGAGCCTGACTCATGGGGAGGGGCGGGAGACCAGGACCTATAATAAAGAGCACTACCCTTATGCAGACTATGTCACAGAGGCCCCAGCTGCCCTAGCCAGGAGCACCCTTGGGCACACTACAGAAGCTCCCTGTGCCCATGGGGCCTTCTCAGCCTGTCCGTGCCCCTCGGCCCCGGGGCCTAAGTTCCCCCTACCGCAGGCCAGGGCTGGGCTGGCCTCAGCCTCGAAATCCCAGGATGTTCAAGTGTAGCCGCAGAAGGTACCGGCAGAAACCCCAAGGCCCAGCTGCCACCATTGCAGCCACCAATCCTGCCACCGTGGCCACAGATATCAACAACACTCCTACCGCCACCACCAGTGTGTGGATCCTTCCGCCACAAAGTTAGCCAAGGGCCCTGAGGCGGGGTGGGGGTTGGAAAAACCAGGGCCATTCGTTTCCCCCAACTTAGCCCTGCCTAGGCACTCTAGGGGGTATACCCTGTGTGAAATACCACCCCCAAAATATGGTGGGGTCTTGATGGCAGACTCCTAAAGGCTGAGAGCCTTAATGGAGGGTGTATTGGCTGAGAGTGGAGGGCCTGGGGAACTGTGAATCTAAGAACAGTGGAGCTTCCAGAACTGCTGTCTTCCTCACACTCTTCCCTCTCCTTCCTCTCCTCAGTTCTCAGACACCTTTGTCAACCCGGCAGCTTTCTGATCTTCTAGAAATGTCCAGAAACTAGTCCAGAAGCTTGGCTGGCTCCGGACCTGCGTCTTCTAGGGGCCATGAGTGGTTGACAGCAGGCAAATACAATCATTTCTGCTCCAACGGCCTTACTCCACTCCAAGGTGTTTCCAGACAACTATGCGGGGTACGAGGGCAGGCCTGGGGCTGAATGCTCCCCGGGACAGGCTTCGGTGAGGACAGATGGGATCACAGTTAGACAATGGAGGGACAGCACAAGGTCAGCAACACACACCATTCCTCCATCTTTGGCCTCAGCTATTGATCTGCCCCATGAGGTAGGGGGCCTTCCTGCATTGCACAGGGAAAAGGGTCTCCATAGACATCTTGGAAGTTATAGAGAACCAGATCCTTGAGGAGGGAGGTAGAGGCACGGATCAGACAGGGATGGCATGAGAGATTTCAGGGCTTGAGTCTAACTCCAAGAGCGCTTCAATGTGAGCTGTATGTGGCTCTGTGCCTGCGACGGTGAGCGTGCAGATGTAGATGTTGGTGTGTGTGTGTGAGAGAGAGAGAGAGAGGCCAGGACAATGGGACTGTGAGCAGATATGTGGCTGAGTGTGCCTCTTCAATGGGTTGTGCCTCTGTGGCCGGCAGAGCATCAGGTATGTTCTTAAGGGTCTGGCTGTGCCAGAGGGAGGCATGGCTGAGAGGAATGAAGGTCAGGAATGGGGTGCGGGCAGCCTGAGGCAGGAGAGGGTTGCTTCTGAGGAGGGCGGGCCACCTTCAGCCCCCTAGCTATTCCCTGAGGCCAGTGTGTTCCAGGAGTGTCAGCTGAGCCTCCGCGGTTAGGGGTGGGGCAAGACTGAGTTGAGTCCAGAAAGGGGGAGGGTGCTGAGCACTCCGGCCTGGGGATTTTCCATTTGGATTTCTGAGTGTGTGCCCATGTGTCATCAGGTGTAACTGGGTTGCTGTGGGGTGTGTCTCCATGGAGCTCTGTCTCAGTGGCGGGAAACACTGTGAGGGACTCTTCTCTAACGTGTCACTGTATGCGTGGCTGTGTGTCCGGGGCTCCCTTCCCTAAGGGTTGGGGGTGGGAGTGAAGCCTGAGAGCCTGGGCCTGGCCCTCCCCTCCCCCCCAGGGTTCAGGAAACCTGTGAGGAGAAAATGAATTGTGTTTGTGTCCTTCAACTCCAAGGCTTGCCAGGACCCTGAGAGGAGGGACGGGACAGAGAAGTCACTGGCACTTTGCGCACAGACGGCGCAGGCTGGGGGATGAGGCTCGGCAGGGTATGGGGGAAGTGGCGCTGAACCTCAGTCAAAGCAGGAAGGTGGCTGGGCTAGCGCCCAAGGCCCACAAAGGGGCCCACACGTTTAAAGACACATGTCACAGTCCATGAACATATGCAGACGTGTAAGTAGAAGTAGACTCACAGACACACAATGCAACAAACACAGGTGCATGCAAGTACAGGCTTATAAACAGAGCTGCACACTGCCACTGATGCACATGGACCTCCCCAGCTGGCATATGTAACCACACATACACATCCCTATAAAAGAACGCACACAGACGTAAACATGCTTACATCTCGACAAGCACATAAGCATATAGACAGACACACGTGCAATCACACTCATACAAACCCAGGCATACACAGACACACGCACACATGCAGTCACACTCACCAGACTTCCCTGCCCGGCCCTGGAACCCAGAAGCTTCCCTCCCCTATAAGAATGTGTGTCTATGTGTGTGCGTGCGCCCCTACTTGTGTCTGTGTGTATCTGTGTCTGTGAGAGTGTGTGTGTATGTGTGTGACTGGGGGGGGTGCTGAGCTGTGGGAACCTGATGACATCATCTCTTCTGGCTATTTTTAGCTCCCTCTGCAATGGCTCCCCCGCGGCCCCTCCCCTTCCAGGCTCCCGGAGGCAGCCGCAGCCAGAGGGCACCCACCACTCCAGTCTAGGTGACCCCTGGATGACTGGGTACAGCTCACTCGTTCCCACCCCACCAGAGCTCCCTGGAGGTTGAGAATACCAGAGGAGGAGGCTTGGGCCATGTGGCAGCCTGGAACAGGGGCCTGGATTAGGTGAGCAGACCTGGCTGGTCTCCAGCCACTAGGGTGCCTCCGCTTCTGCTTTTCAATCTGAAACTGTCTCCATCAGTAGTGCCTGCCATGTGCCAGGGAGGGTGCCAAGTTCTGGAGATAGAGCAGTGTGCAAGACAGCAGGAGTTCTTCCTGGTGGGTGTTACAGCTCGGTGGGAGACAGACATTAAACAGATCTCACAGGCACTGCACCAAACTGTGTCAAGGACTCTGAACGTTGGTAACAAGGGGATTCGGTCTGGGATGATGCTCTCTTTCTATCTCATGGAGATAACCTGAGGAAACCAGAGGGGTACCCTCCCTGACCTTGCACCTTCCACCCCAAAAACCACACTCCAGAATTCCACAGAGCAGAGCTTCCTCCTCACACCCCAGGCTGTGCCCCCAACATTGCCCCAACCCACCCTCCAAGTGGTGGCCCCTCACGATTCATGGCCCCCTTTCTTTGGAACCTCCACCCCTCGCCCCCCCCGCCCCGTTGACCCCTGGGAGCCAGTCCTTAGTCCTCCATCTATGGATGAGAAAAGCAAAACTCTTGAGAGGAGTAGGGCTGGACCACACCTCCTGGTGCCCAGGCGGCAACTCAAGGAGATGGCAGGCCCAGGGAGGAAGAAGTGGTGGCGGCACAGGTGGGGGGGTGGGGGGGTGGGGGGGTGAAGGTTGGGGTCAGGAGGGGAGGAGGACTGTGGCCCGAGGGGTCCTTGCCCAGAGCAGGCTTCCTGCTCCAGCCAGCCTCTGGGCAGCCACCAGAAAATCGGGTTTGGCAGCTTGGGCCAAGTGCCCAGGGGCTGGAGGAGGGGTCCAGGCAGCTCTGGGGAGGATGCCTGGGGGCAGGCTTATCCTCCAACCCAGAGTCTGGCCAGGCCCCGGGCCAAACTGTCCTGTTGGGGGAGCATTTTGTAATACTGGGACCCTTTGGAGTGTGGGGGGAACAGCTCTGGGCTGGAAGCAAGAGGCCGGAATTCCAGTCCTTGTTCTGCCCCGAACCTCAGTGTGATCCTTGGAAAGTGCTGCCCCCTTTCTTGGCCTGAGTGGGCCCTCCCAGGAAGGAGCGCTGGAGGACTACTTTCCCTATCCCCAATTCCTGCCCTCTGGGTTTTCCTGGGAGTCTGACTCGGGCAAAGAAACACAAAGTTTGTGTTTGGGACAATGGGTTGGGACGGGAACAGACCGCCCCCAGGGCACCAGGCTGGAGGTACCTTGTCATCAATGGGTCAATGGCCGGAAGCCTAGCTCCAGCCCTACAATGCTATATGGGTCACCCCACCCTTACCAGTACCCTCACCCACACCCCTACTTCCGTCCTCTGTTCCTTCCTCACCTTCAGAGAAAGCTACTGGGCTCCCTGGGGAATCTCCCGTACCTACTCCATTGGCTTCCTGCCCTGTGCTCAACCCTCCCTCCCCCTCTTTCCACTTGACGGGGCCAGTCTCCCAGTAAACTTTCTGTCCCTGGATCCTGGGGCAGGCCCAGGAGGAAAGGAAGCTGGGTGGAAGGCCTGCACAGGAGCCTGCTTTTCCTGCTACCATCAGATACTTGAAGCCCAAATGAGGGGGTTGGGAGGAGGAGGGTGGACTGAGTGCTGGGGCCTAGGACAGGGCTGCCCTGGCATATTCCAGCCCCAGGGGAAGTGGGAATATTACCCTTTACCTATCCAACAATCTTCCTGTGCCTTCAGCAAATTCAGAGAAGAGAGCCCAGAGCTGAGGCTTGCTTCCTCTGGAAAGCAAACACAAAAACCCAGGACAAGTGAGTCCTGCTTGTAGTCACTAAGTCAGCGATAAATTCATGAAAACACAAAACCCATAAAATTCTAAATGCATAGAATCCATAGTCATGGAATCTTAGCATCACAGAATTCTAGCATGGTGAAATCTGAGTTACAGTCAGAAATATAGAATTCTGGCATCACTGATTCCCAGATCACAAGGTTAGAGTATCCTCGAATAGAGAAGTCTTTTTTTTTTTTTTAAAGATTTTTTATTTATTTTTTTGTCAGAGAGAGAGAGAGCACAAGCAGGGGGAGCGGCAGGCAGAGCAGGTAGAGGGAGAAGCAGGCTCTCTGCCAAGCAAGGAGCCTGATGTGGGACTTGATCCCAGGACCCTGGGATCAAGACCTTAGCCAAAGGCAGACGCTTAACTGACTGAACCACCCAGGTGTCCCTCGAATAGAGAAGTCTTGAGAAATCAATGAGTGAAGTCTTCACCTTCAGGTGGATGTCTAAACTAGAGGATGGGCATTGGGCATGGGCAAAGGAGTTCACGCATGAACACTAAGGAGGAGGCAGAGAGCTCAGGACACACGAGCTTAGGATAAGAAGCCTGCAACAAACCAGACAGAGGACAGACATCTTCCATGAGAACACATTCTTGGTTTCTAAGGATGAGGGGAGTAGGGTGGCAGGAAGGGGGCACAGAGAGGGGAACTATAGAAACAAAGAAAACATAGCCTAAAGAAAAGATTAGCAAGTAGCCTAATACACCAGCCACAATGCCTCCCGATTTCTCCATGGTTGGGTTTAACACCAGCCCAGGACATTTTCCAAGGTTAGTAAGACTCCTTATCACATTGGAACGGCAAGCCACATCTGGCTTTTGTGGGAAGGAAAGCACCAAGTAGAAAATATTCTGTATACCACAATTTCTTGGGGCTGCTGGGAAGAGCAGACTCTCCAAAGAGGATACTGAGCTGTGACCAACAAAGCCATGCTGTGGGGTGGGGTGTGGAGCCCCTAGCAAGGCCTTGGTAAGGGACCTTGTGGAGAGCATCTGCCTGGGGTGGTGCCTGGGAGGGGCATCTCTACAAAGGGAGCCAAACTTGAGGCAGCACTTGGTATGGGGATTCATGCCTGATTATGGGGTTGGTTACTTAGTAAACAACAGGGATATTTACCTAGCATTTCTGGGAAACTACTGCAAACTCAGGAACCCAGAAGAAGCAGTTCCAGAGAGAGGCAAATGCCAAGCTCTTCTGGGCATGGGGAATGGGGCAATGTCAGCTGGAGATCCTCTTGCTCGGCCTCCTGTCCTTGGATTC